ATCCAGCTCCACCCATGAAGTAAAGAGTTGGAGGGGGTTGGGAAGAGAACAGGGTCTATGTTACATCTGTGTTTGCTTTCGGTTCTTCCTCTCATATGTTATCGCAAACCCCAATTGTTTACCAATCAAGAGTTTTGCGTGAAAAGAAACCATCCTTTTTTGTCAGATGAAAGAGATGCTTTACATGCATTCTCACTCAAGTTTTCTCATAAAGTCTGAGGATGGTTTGTGTTCAAGAGCATATCTCTTCAGCTAAAGTACCATCTTCTTATTGCATTTTACTACTTGCTTGTTCTTTGTTGTCTTTCCAGGGTTTTACAGCTTGAGGGGTTTTATTGAAACAATCTGCAGGCCATACCCAACCCTAACCAACAGTGACATTATTGTTTTACCGAGGATTTTTCTTTACACTGTTATGATGGCAGTGACTCTTAACTTATGTAATGTGGTAAATTAGCATGTGTCTCTTGGAGGACAGCATGGCTCTGGGCTTTCTCTTGGTCATTAAATAACTAAATAGTGCTCACCCGTGACCGCCTGTTACCCATACACTGGGGTATTGTGTGTTTTAATTAAAACTGTGCCATCCATGTTCTTTGTAATATCAGAATTCATCTCTTGTTCCCCTGATTGTGACCTGGATTTGTTCTTGTGGTTTGGAGATGACTCGAGATCCAAATGGTTCTTTTCGAAACTTAAGTCACATAAAATGTCATTGCATTAAGACACACAAAATGTCACATTTTGATAAATACTAATGCTTTTCTCCAAACTTTTTTTCTTCACGCCTTTCAGTCAACTGGTGTTTCTGTGTTTTTTAGTGGATCTATGAAGTCAATTCTCCTCAAGTTCACACAGGTGTCTTAGCAGACTAACCACAGGTGTAGAGAATCATGTTAAGTATGAACACTTTACACATTTAGACAATTTACTGTCTAAATACCTTTCATTTTAAACAGATTATCTATTATTTTATCATATAAACGCTAACAAGCTTATCTTTTTGTGAAATGTTTTGCTTTAAAACATGCTTTTGCTGTCTTTCTTTAAATGGCACTTTATTATTATTTTTATTATTATTTAATGCAATGACATTCAGATATGTTCAAGTGTGACTTAAGTGTCCAAAGTTGAAAAATGTGCACAATAATTTGCTCTGACATCTTACATTGAAAAATGTTAACTAAACAGAAATAGTTTTTCTTTATTTTTTTTTATTTTTTTATATAGATATACAATTTCATATCTATGCAATGATATTTCAGACATATTCAAGTGCAGGCTAAATGGAAGAAGTTCACTGAAAATAAAATTGTCATCATTTACCCACTCCACAGCCAAATTATATTTTTTCTTTATATTCAGACTGCTTTTTTTCCCCCCATGAAACAAAAGCACAAAGTGACCAGGGGCTGTAAATCTAATCTAAAATCTTATTCTTGTGTGTCTTGTTTTTTTCAAATATGGTACCTAATTTGATGTCATTCATTTTGATATCAATCAAGTTAATTAGTATCTGATTGCAATGTGTAAACTTTGTATATGCACAAATGTAAAAGATATTTAAGTACTTGACTTAAATGGTTTGTTCCCCTCAAAATTAATTTATGACTTCAGAAGACTTTAAAAAAAAACATGAGTTCCAGGGAAAATTTTATGATCTTTTTTTGTTGTTTTGGGAACTTGACAGCCCCGGTATGACAAAGAGCAGCTTCTGCAATTTGCTAAAATTGTCTTTTGTTTTCCACCGGTTTGGAACAAGATGAGGGTGAGCAAATGATGACGGAGTTTTTATTTTTGTGTGAGCTTTCCTCATTCAGGAAATTGTGGAAAGCATGGTCTATTCAATGTGAATTGGTCTAGTTGTTTGACCTCTTTTATTTGTGCATGCTAAAGCAAAACAGCTGTAAAACTCCACAGCTAAACTAACCCACATTTTTCTATTTAAAAAGCCCAACTCACTTTATTTAATGTTCGGCGGTCCTAACTTAAGTATGCCATGCCTTTAATGATTTGGTCCCGGAGACGAATGCAAGTCCAAAATGAATATCACAAACAAACTGCCTCGAAAAAAGTATAATATGCTTTCATGGCCACTTTAAAGGTCCCCTGAAATGCTTAGAAACACTGTTTTGTCACTGTTTTGGAGCACACTGCCTTATAGATAACCTTAAGACTAACATATTGATACTAACACCCAAAAAACTTTAATTTTGATTTCATGGGGACTTTAACATTCCCTCTAAAACGGACTCCTGGCAGCTGCAGCCATACAGTTCCCCAACCACAAGAACTCCACACAGGGGTTCCATCCTGGCAAAAACAGAGGAGTCTTTGATTGGGGAACGGTCAGCTCCCAGCCGTCTGTTTTAACAAGAAATAGGGAAATGAGGGGAGAAATGCGGTGAATAAGAAAACGAATGTCTGTTTGGGTACAGATTAATAGGACTCGAAGCTTCACAGCGAGCCAAGGGAAATACAACGTGCACCCAAAGCATTCCATTCAGATGAAACCCTAAAGACTTTGTTTGGGTCAAGCGCTTTTCAATCCGACCGAAGCTCTTAACCAGTAGCAGAACCAAAGGGAATTGCTTGAATTATGATTCCTTCCAAACAGGTTCCCAAAAAACCCCTATCTGCCTCTACTCATGCCATTGGTTGAACCAGAAGTTGATTTGACAGACCATTCAATCAAACACAGCAATGATTTGAAAGCACCACAGAGTCAAGTCAACCAACAAATGATTTGCGTAAAGGGATGTTTCACCCAAACATTTAAAACTGTCATAATTTACTCATCCTTGTATCGTGAAACATAAAAAAAGGATATTTTGTGAAATGTTAGTTCGTAAATGTTAATGGTGTTTTATCGATGTACACGCTGACATTATCGAGTATGCCACTCAAAAAAAACCCCCAACAAAAACACATCTTGAGAGTCCAAAAGCATTCACTGTCTGATGAAGCCTATTAAGGCCAGAGTATACTTCGGTTTTTACGTGTACGCAAGGGTCCGCAAACAGTGCAAGTGACGCAATTTCATCACCAGAATGGTAAGCGCACCATCTGATTTTTGTACATGTGATCCCTAAACCTCAAAAAGACCACTCTCAATTGGAAAACTGGCGACCTATAAGTCTCCTAAATAACGACTACAAAATATTAGCCATAGTCCTATGAAATTGACGAATGTCAATGGAGTTTTATGACAGACAGACTTATTTTAAACAATATTAGACTTGTTCTTGATATTTTAGATCACTCAGATTTGATCCCTGATGACAGTTTCCTGCATTTTCTTGATTTTTATAAAGCTTTTGATTCAATTGAATTCCCTTTTATTCTTAAGTCCTTGAATATTTTTGGTTGTGGCCCCAATTTTATTAATGCAATTCAAACTTTGTACAATAGTGCCAATGCTTCAATCAAATTACAACATGGTACTACTCATAGGTTTAAAATAGATAGAGGCATCAAGGCACATTCAAAAATAGGTATCTCTGTGGCAAATCGATCAATATTAATAAGCCAACTGGCTGACACAACTCTTTTTTTTGGAAAATAAAGATCAAGTTCCTTTAGTCTTAGACATAGTTATTTTTTTTTCTTCTGCTTCTGGTTTAAGTCTTAAAATCCATAAATGTTAACTTAAACGTATCTATAAAAGATTCTACTGATGTTAAAATTTGTGACATCCCAGTCAAACCCGAGATCAAATACCTGGGTATACTTATATGTAAATATCAGAAAAAGAGATCAAAGCTTAATTTTTAACCTCTTATTTTCTCTATCTGATGCAAATTAAACTCCTGCTTACAGCATGATCTGTCAATAGCAGGTAGAGTGTTGCTTTCTAAAGCAGATGGGTTATCTCAGGTTATCTATACTGCTATAGCACTGGATGTTTCTGTGGAAATTTATAAAACATTGGACAAAATTATAGTAGACTGTTTGGAATTCTAAAACTCACTTAATTAATAATAAAAAAAAAAAAAACGTTATGCTAGCTGATCGGGCTATGGGGGGTTTTGAGTTAGTGGATTTATCCACTCTTAATAATTCCTTTAAAGTTAAATGGATAAAGTCATTTTTAAACAACCCCGCATCCTTTTGGAACATTATTCCAAATCATATTTTTAGTTCAGTCGGAGGTGTACATTTTCTGTTGCACTGCAGCTTTGATATCTCTAAAATACCTTTAACTTTATCTAGCTTTCATAAACAGGCTTTAATAAGTTGGTCCCTTATATATAATTACAGTTTTTCTCCACATAGTTATTTTATTTGGAACAATACAAATATAACAAATATTAGGCTTTTTTTTCATAATTTGTTTGATAAAAATGTAGTTTATAAAAAGTCAGTCAACTTTTATATGCTCGTGGTGTCCTTTTCACGTATGAACATTGTTTATTTTGCTAATATATACAAATGTCACTGTCTGTTTAGGCTGAGGGAGATTTACATCAAAATAATGTTCTAATATGAAAAGTATGTATACTTGCTAAATATGCTGTTTTTGTTAAACCATTGAAGACTAAACATCAGGCACATCATATTAAGTGCTTCTTTCATCTGTTGCATGGATCTGTTTACTCATGACACACTGACCTAAACCATATGTAATTTCAGATGATGGAAAATGAAGACATACCAACAACTTTGGGTAGTTTTTGTCTCCTCAGAGGGATTCTGGGGAGTTTGGTGCTGATTCGACTGAATCCGCCGCAGAGGATTATTTTGGCCTTCTTGCTGTTGGTGGAGTTTTCCTGGTCAGGGCTGAAAGAGGAAGGGTGACGTTAGACCAACATTACACTGACTAGAAATGGATTGCATATTGTAGATGTGTGTTAGTGTAGCTCAATAGCCTTCTAGCATGAACGGCATCGAGATTGTAGATATGATGTTCAAATGAAGAAAGAATAGATGGATTAATTTGCCTCACGGGCAAACTGAGGAAATCTAGGCTCAGTTGGTCTTTACGTTCTGTAGTTTTCCAGCCATTTAGAAAAGGTGGAAAGTTTAAGAAAACAGCCGACTGTGATTTCTAGAACACGAGAGTCTTGAGTTTTCCCAACTGACCACTGGAGAACAGAGGAGGCTTTCACTTCAGCGAACTGTGAACAATTCTGATGACAGGCTTTGTTAAAAGATGATTTTTGCCAGGGGTGTAAGAGCAGAGTGAGTTTGAGGGAGACACAAAGGACACGTTCACACCGTCGATGCAGAATATGGCCCGTTTTACATCATGAAATACGGTTACATTCACACATAGTTTGTACAGTGTGAGCAGAACCACTCCAGATTAATTGTTTAAAGCTGTTATATTAATTATGACAAAACTTCAAAGAATCATTGAAGAAGCGTGACAAAAAAAAAAAAAGTATCATGGTTTCCACAAAAATATTAAGCCCCACAACTGTTTTCAACTTTGATAATACGAAATCAGCATATTAGAATGATTCCTGAAGGATCATGTGACTGAAGACTAGAGTAGTGATGCTGAAAATTCAGCTTTGCATGACAGGAATAAATTACATTTTGTAATATATTACAATAGAAAATATCTTATATTTATTTATCAAATAAATGCAGTAGGGGTGAGCATAAGACCTAAACTTTTGAACAGAAATGCGTTTGAGTTTAAACTAGTATTTCTGATTATTTAATTAGTAAAGGGATATATCTGACACTCTAAATACTTTACGTGCTTTGAGTGTTATTCAATTATAAAGTGTAGCATATAAGTTCTGCAAATAGTTCTGCCTCAAACTCACACTACTGGTTTAGCCCAATTTTGACATCAAACCACTCAAATAATGAAAGTGTCCTATTTACAAATGATTGGAATTCATTAACATACACGTTCACCTATCAAATCTGAGGTTTACAAAGCATCTGTGAATTCGGAGGAGTTGTGAAAGTCCAGTTTACATGCCAATTACTTATATGTGACCCTGGACCACAAAACCATTCATTTATACATCTGAAAGCTGAATAAAGAAGCTTTCCATTGATGTATGGTTTGTTAGGATAGGACAATATTTGGCTGAGATACAACTATTTGAAAATCTGGAATCTGAGGGTGCAAAAAAAATCAAAATATTGAGAAAATCGCCTTTAAAGTTGTCCATATTAAGTTCAAAGCAATGCATATTACTAATCAAAAATTCAGTTTTAATATATTTACAGTAGGAAATTTACAAAATATCTTCATGGAACATGATCTTTACTTAATATCCTAATGATTTTTGGCATAAAAGAAAAATCAATAATTTTGACCCATACAGTGTATTTTTGGCTATTGCTACAAATATACCCCAGCGACTTGAGACTGGTTTTGTGATCCAGGGTCACATATTTGTGAAAGTTTAATGAAAGAGGCCTTATGTTTAAACTCTTCCTAAAATCTAAATGACCATCTAATAGTTGTCTTTGCGTATTAAACTGTAATTGGAGAAAGTATTCCAACCTTTAGCTTTTAATTCAGAAGGTTGGGACTTAGTAAGAACTGGATTGAGAAATTTACTTGCGGTTGTCTTTGTTGCTACAGAGGAAGCAGCAGCACAGCAGAGAGAGAAGAACCACCAGCGTGAGACAGAAGTTGAGTAAAGTTTGCAATTTACCACAAAACTCACGTGTATTCAGTTGTTTCATTTAACACGACCTTTTTCAGGAGAGATGGAGGCCGTTCAGTGAAAATATGGCTGTACAAAAGTTAACCAATTCCGTTAATGCAAAAAGCAGTTTCTTTTGCCTACGCGACAGATCTTATGGATTTTTAAAGAGAAATAAACCCTTTTAGTCTTTTTAAGATGGTGATACTGATTGACTACACAATGACACAACTGACCAATCAGCATCAAGCCTTCCAAAGAGCCGTATAATAATTTCAGATATTTTCTAATCGATACTAAGAATAATTTCATGTTGCATCATTGCAAACGTTGTTTCACATTAAACAGCTTTTACATTTCCTTAAATTTTGCCTACTAAAGAACATTGTACAGAAATGAACCAAAATGTCCTTGCAATTACCACACCAGTTCAGGAGTTTAAGAGCTAGCAGTTGTGTCCTGTGATATGCAGGACTTCTGCCAGTGGCTTCTTTGCATCTGTTGCCAACAGGCATTATCACTGGAGCATAAAATGTGGCCATTTGGCTCTTGCGTTCATAAACAAAGACAATGTTGGGATGCTTAATTTGGCACTGGTGAGAATGAAGAATTTCAGCTGTTGGACTCACTGTATTTTTTGTCTGGATTGTCCAAGGCCAGTTATTAGCCAAATAATACATACTGAAATAATTACTGGCCTTGGATAATCCAGACAAAAAATATGGTGCATCCAACATGTGTAATCTTTATATTTAAGCAACTTCAAAGTCCAAAAGTGAAACTTAAAGTAAACCCAGATCCAGACCCATCCAGCAGGCCATAAACTATGTACGTAACACAGTTTATCAGAGGCATTTGTTTATTTAAAATGCATTTTAAATCTGTGTGCCAATTGTACTTTTGGAACAATTTTAAAGGAATACTTCACCCAAAAATTAAAAAAAAAAAAAAAAATATTCAATAAATGTATTCAACAACAGGTCATCCAAGATTTGAAAGAGTTTGTTTTTTCATCAGAACAGGGTTGGAGAAATTTACCATCTCATCACTTGCTCACCAATGGATCCTCTGCAGTGAATGGGTGCCGTCAGAATGAGAGTCCAAACAGCTGATAAAAACATCACAATAATCCACAAGTAATCCACATGACTCCAGTCCATCAATTAACATCTTTTGAAGCGAAAAGCTCTGTGCTGGTAAGAAACGAATCCATGATTAAGGCATTTTAACTTTAAATCATCGCTTCTGGCCAAAATACGAGTCCATAATCCATAATAATGCTTCCTCCACGAAAAAGTCCATCCCCTTTTGTCCTCACATCACAATCCACCGACATATTTGTTTAGAACTGTTTAGGACGGTTTTCACTTGTAAACGGTGCTTGATCTCTGCATAATTCTCTCCTGATTCAGACGAGATTACTTTTTCACTGAAGAAAACAATATTATGGATAGAGGCTTAAAGTTAAAAAAAACGTCTTGATGGATTTGTTTCTTACAAACATGCAGCTTTTCATTTCACAAGATGTTAATTGATGGACTAGAGTTCACTTTTTATCAGCTGTTTGGACTCATTCTGACGGCACCCATTCACAGCAGAGGATCCACTGGTGTGCAAGTCATGTAATGCTAAATTTCTTTAAATCTTTCCAGTGAAGAAACAAACTTATCTACATTTTGGATGGCCTGAGGGTGACTACATTTTCAGCAAAAGTTCATTTTTGAGTAAACAGAAATATTATTTTCAGCTGAACCCAAATATTCCTTTCATAATATTTCTTGTGCAAATATTTGCTACTCGAAAGCCAACTGAAAACAGTTAAAGCATAATAACTGATGACAACTTATTTGACTCTCTGATTTGTGCTCTAGATTCTGTCACAAGTGTGGAGCTCAGTCCGGGTGTAGTGTGGGGTATGGGCACATGAAAGCACAGCTGCATTCAAGGAAGGCCTCATTGAGGTCGGCCACGATGACATCATTACTGCTTTCACTCAGGTCCCTGTGAAACCTCTGCTGACCCACACCTTTTCTCATTACTGTCTCTCTCTCTCTCTCTCTCTCGCTCTCTTCCTGTAGTATTTCTCTCAGCTGTGTGAAACAACCTCGTCTCTCACTAACTCGATGAGCAGGCAGGAAAAGAGCCAAAAAACACAGCCGTAAAACTCCACTCTGGAAACACCATCAGGGCCGCCATGTTAAACTGCTGCTGTCTACGGCAGTGACCTACATAGTGAGGACTATGCAGGCATGTTACCAATAGCAACTGTGTTTTTATTTGCCTGCACAGCAAGTTTCTCATAGATTTTTGAAGGAAAACATATGATTTTTTACCTCATTCCTTAATCCAGGAATGACCTTAATCCAGTAATATTGAAGATTATGGTGCAATAAAATTAATTAACTTTATAAATACACTTCTCAAATGAAGAGTAGTGAGTAATGACTTGAATTTGGGGTCTCACGCAAAGCAATCAAATGGATTTGACGACTTTGCATAAAGCAAACGAATCATATGTATTGGCAGAAAAACATGTGTTTTTTATCAGCATCCTAGCTACCGATTTTATGTTCTGTGAACGTTTTTATTAGGTTATGAAAATGTTATTTTCCTTGTTTATTCAGATGTTTTGGAAAACAGCGTGTTTTTGTTAAAATATATTAACATTGATAAAATAAGATAACCAGACTTGTTTTCAGAGAATATATCTTGGACAGAAATTTATTTTTCTTACCCCATTGGCAAATATTTAGTATTGTTTTAAGCATAAACCTAACAAACTTTTGCTTAACATGACAACAACTACTTGTCAATGGGGTAAGAAAAATATGGAAACACTTTACTTAAAGCCTTTATAAATAATGTATTATCAAAACAATTGTTTTACTCCTTGTAATGCACCTTATAATGTATTATATGATCTCATGAATAATTGTATCCACATTTAACATTATAAGACTCATCTATTCATTGCTATATCTTTAGAAAGTATAATGCATTAAAACATGACAAACAAACCTTCAAATATTATAATACATTTTACCTTTGGTTACAATTATTTATGAAAAGATATAATGCAATACAATGTACATTATGAATACCTTATACTTAAATGCATTATATATAAAGGTTTTAAGTGCCAAAAATACATTTAATTATTCATTTAAATATATTCTCGAATTCTCTGAAAACAAGCCTTCTTGTAAAGAATTATTTATTTTAAGGATGTTTGGATGCTTTAATGGAAAGCAAAACAACATTAATGGTTAAGAAAATGATTTTTTAAAAAGACTTTAATGGTATTTTTTTTTCGTCCTGTTTGGAACTTCTCCTTTCCTTATCCTTTTTTGCGCACCATTGACGAAAACTGTTTAGCCTGGAAAAATCAAGGTGGCTGTAATACAATGCATATTGCGTATAATGATCATGACGTGATGTCATGCTGCATTTGCTGTATTTAAAATCATCTCGTTCCACTTTTAGTAACCGATGTCCTCACAAATCCGTCGTGAGTCAAAAGGTTGAATCTTGAGTTGACCTTGGCGTCAACTGGGCAGCTATTTTCCCCCCTCCCCTTTACGTAATGGAAAATGTGACTGATGTTGGACCCCACAAGTATGTCTCAACACTATTGGAGTTCTGCTGAGTCGCCATAGCAAATGAAATAACAGAAAGCTCGAGAAGTTACATTTGCTTTTCCCAAAGAGAGGTAGGAAGGGTTTCTTACATAGGTTGCAGGCCCCTGACACTGGGTTGCAGTTCTTGTCATGACAGGAACAGGTCTGGGCACAGTTCACTCCGAACTGACCAAACTCACAGGTCAGGTTGCAGCTAAAATGAAGAGAAATACAAAGAGCACATACAAAACAGTGATGAAAAGAATCAGTATAAGCACTGTGTACACAGCAACAGGAGTTTCCAGTGAAAATGGAACAAGGCAGTTACAGGCAATTATGTTGATATTGGAAATGCAAGAACAGGGAAGAGGAATTTAGCATTTGCAATGAATGAAACAAGAACAGATTTTCTCTTTTAAAGAAAAGAAGTAAAAATGAATTCTGTTTTAATGTGTTCTCTGATCTTGTCTTTCAGATCTTCGATCAAGTGATGTTTCATCAACCGAAGATAAAGGTGTGATATGATTCATGTGCATTGTGTGGTCCGTATTAGAATAATTTCCAATAGTCTTTAATGTTTAGTGACTGGTCTCACTTGACAGATAGGTTAAAGATAGGTTTGATCAAGTGAAATAAAGTTACTGAAGGAACAATTTGCAGTTCAGAATGCAGATATTACAAGGATGTCATCACTGGCCATTTTAGATTTGAAGGCTGAATATTCTAACGTTTGTTTATTTCATTTTTCAAAAGTTTGAGGTCAGTAGGATTTTTATTTAAATGTACTTAATACTAATTTGATAGTAAAGACAGTTAATTTTTTTTTTTTTTTATGTATTAAGAAATAAACAGAAATCTGAATCTATAAAGATGTCTATTTCAAATAAATGCTGTTTTTTAACTTTCTATTCATCAAAGAGTCCTGAAAAAAAATCTATCAAGGTTTCCACAAAAATATTACATTATAACATTGATAATAATAAGTAATAAATGTTTCTTAAGCAGCAAATCAGCATTTTAGAATGATTTCTGAAAGGATCGTGTGACTTGAAAATTCAGGTTTGCCATTACAGGAATGTTTTTAAATAAAAATAAAAAGTTTAAAACCAACCCCCCAAAAAATAAAAATAAAATAAAAATTATTTAATACTGAAATTATCTTCTGTACAAAGTTTAAGTGAAATCTGAACATTTAAGTGATTCAGACTCATCAATATTAATAAGTCTTGCAATCGTAATTATTAGTGCTGTCAAATGATTAATCGCGATAAATAGCATCCAAAATAAAAGTTTTTGTTTACATAATATATGAGTGTGTACTGTTTTATTTATAATGTATATATAAATATAAACACATGCATGTATATATTTAAGAACAAATATGAAATATAATAATATAAATATATAGATGTATATACATGTAAATATTTTCAAAATATATACTGTATGTGTATTTATATATACATAATAAATAATCAATGTACACATACATATATTATATAAACAAAAACTTTTATTTTGGATGCGATTAATCGCGATTAATCGTTTGACAGCACTAGTAATTATACCCAACAGAGTATCAAAAATGCTTTCCTTCTGTTATAAGGGCAAAGATATGCTTTTCCTCACAAAACATACACTTATGTGTTTATGTGATACTCCCCTGAGTATCACCATGTCTTTCTGCGATGGACATGTTTAGTGTCTCGATTTACAAAGAATCAATGCATATTTAACCATTTTTGGTGTCCTATTTAGCAAGGTTTGCTCTTCTTTAAACCATTTAGCATGAGTCTTTGGGTTTTTCTGTGATTCATTGGTCAATGAAAACAGGCCTAGATATCAAGATGACCTACATTTGTGCATGACTCAGATGTGACTTACTATGTCCCATAGAAGCCAGGGTCACAGAGACACTCTCCTGTGGCAAAATGGCAGTCTCCATTAAAACAATGGCTGCAGTCTTTTTCACAGTTTTCTCCATAGGTGCCGTTAGGACAGCGCACCTCACAGCTGAATACAGAGAGAGAGATGCAAAGAGAAAGAGGTAGAGGTTATGCAATTGGTCAATTCAAAGACTATTTCAGTTTTCATCAAAATAATCTCCAAAAAAATACTTAAGGAGCAACATATAAAAGTTTCAGAGGTGAATTCACTAAAACTTTGTACACTTCCACTTTTGGGAATGATATTTCATAGCAAAAACATATATTTCATAGTTTTATTTACTAATCACGTGCAATTTAGTTTAATCAAGCTGGTTTACAGCACCATTATAATTCTCTTAATTGCAAATATTTGTATTATAGATTGTGCTTCGTTCATAAAAATCAGCAATATTTGCTGGTTAACATTTTATTTATTTATTTTTTATTTCATTTATTAACATTTACACTACATTCAAATGATTTTTTTTATTTAAATGTTATTAATACTTTTATTCAGCAAGGATGCGATTAAATTAATCAAAAGTGACAGTAAAGACAACTGTTTCAAATACATTTCTAACTATTTTCAACATTGATAATAATAAGAAATGTTTCTTGAGCAGCAAATGATGTGACACTAAAGACTGGAGTAATGATGCTGAAAATGCAGATAGTGTATGTAAATAAACAGCTCTGTCAGTAGCATAATTCCTTTTTTAGTGAATTCCCCCCTCACTTCTCAACTTTGTAACGGTTAGCTACAGTTGCTGAAAATCTGTACCGATCTCCAATCCAGCCGGGATTGCAGTGGGAGCACTTCCCGTTGATGCGGTTGCAGTAATGACCGTCTTTGCACGGCGGACACTGATCCTTACAGTTCTCTCCGAAGTAACCCTCTGCACACAGCTGATCACATTTTGTCCCATTCCAGCCGCTCTCACACGTTTCACAGTGACCCTCCGTCACCTTACAGGGCTGCTGGCCTTTACAGTGGCCACACCTGGATCAACAGAAACAAGAAAAGACCGGATGGTTCAGGTACAGTCAAAACCAGAATACAATAAAGATGGTTTTCTTACTCCAGTAGGAATATCTAAACATTCTTATATCAAGGTACAAATAAAAGTACCATAAGATATTAAGTCTTTTTTTTTTTCAAATCAAAGTGAGTTTGTGTTTAAAACAAGAACAAATATCTGCCAACGAGGTCAAAAAATTTTACTTGATTCAAAAGGAAAACTATATTAGTTTTCTTACCCCATTGGAAGTATTTTTTTTTAAACTCACTTAATTTTGATATATTATTCAGAAAATATCTGGATGTATTGATTGAAGGATTTTTAGACATTTGTATTGTCTCTACAATTAATCCAAAATGCCGCTGCAAGATTAATCTTTAATGAGCCGAAAAGAACGCATGTCACACCGCTGTTCATCAATTTGCACTGGCTACCAGTAGCTGCTCGCATTAAATTCAAGGCATTAATGTTTGCCTACAAAACCACCACTGGCTCTGCACCCCTTTACCTAAATTCATGACTTCAGAGTTATGTGCCCTCTAGAAGCTTGCGTTCTGCAAGTGAACGACACATTATTGTGCCATCTCAAAGAGGCACAAAATCACATTCACTGACTTTTCCATTAACTGTTCCCTCCTGGTGGAATAACCTACCCAACTCAATCCGAGCAGCTGAGTCCTTAGCCATCTTCAAGAAACGACTAAAAACACATCTGTTCCATCTTTATTTGACCCTCTAACTCTAGCACTTTCTATTCTATTTAATTCTACTTTATCTACATTTATCTTCTTTTTTTATTTAAAACTCTAGCTTTCTATTTTTTTATTCTATCTATTTGTTTTTCTTTGTGTGTGTGTGTGTGTGTGTATAATATATATATATATATATATATATTGCAAAACTAACAAAAATACTTTTTTTTTTTTGCAATGATGTTGTGGCAATACAATTAAACAGAACACCAATATTCTGTACACAGATTTTTTAAAAACTGTTTTGCAAATTATATAGTGAAATATGCTGATTTGATGCTTTTATTATTGGTGCTCAATTATGAATAATTGTTCTTCATATTATCAAAATTGAGTTTTTGCTGCATTTTGTGGTAACTCTAATATTTTATTTTCAGGATTCTTTGATGAATAGATGCTAGAAAGTTTAAAACAACAGCATTTGTTTGAAATATAAATATTTTAATATTATAAATACCGTACTGTGACTTTTGATCAATTTGATGCACGTCTACTGAAAAAAACGAATTAAATAATTAATTAATTAATTAATAGTTAATTAAAAAAAAAATCGTACTTGCCCCTTTTGTATGATAGTACATCACAATTTCCACAAAAAAATATTAAGCAGCAAAACTTTTTTCAACATTGATAATAATACAAAATGTTTCTTGTGGAGTAAATCAGCATATTAGAATGATTTCTGAAAGATCATGTGACACTGAAGACTGGAGTAATGCTGCTGAAAATTCAGCTTTGCATCATAAAAATAAATTACATTTAATAAAATATTTCAAAATAGAAAATAGTTTTTTTAAATTGTAATAATATTTCAAAGTATTACATTTTACAGTTTTTTTTTAATTAAATAAATGCAGCCATATTAAGTATAAGGGACTCTTGTACTGTATATAACTTTTTCCTCACCTGTTTCTGCAGTTCTGTCCATAGAAGCCAGCTGGACACGGCTCCCGGCATAGCTTTCCTCTGTATCCGGGTTTACAGGTACATGATCCATCCACAGGGTTACACTTCCCGTTTGTGCACTGACAGTGCCGTTCACAGCGCTGACCCCAGAGCCTCTCCCTGCACTGACATCGGCCCGAAAACTGCTCACAAGGCGAGTTGTTACACACACACGGAGCGCCACAGTTACGGCCGAACCAGCCAGGGTTGCAGATGCACCGGCCCGTGTTCTGGTCGCACACCGAGTTTATGCTGCAGTAGCAGTTGTTGTTGCACTGCGGCCCCCAGTAACCGGCATGGCAGGTGCATTTGCCCGTCTCCTGGTCACATTTCCCTTTCTGACAGTTGCAGGGCTTCTCGCAGTTCTCACCCCAGCGGTTTGGGTAGCACGTGCACTTCCCGGTCACATCGTCGCATTTACCGTTAGGGTGACACGTGCACATGCCCTTGCAGTCTGGACCCCAGAACTGAGCGGGACACTCTAGAAGAGTCAAAAAAAAAGCACAGGTTGTAGTTTACAGTGTTAAAAGGTAAAGAAACATGTTTACTGTGCAACTGGGAAGCTGAAAGCATATCAGACAATATTTTATGTTGATTATAAAACTAAAATTGGTCAGTTAAATAAGTTCTTTCACCATAGCATAAAGTGTTTATTTTGTAAACACAATTCGACAACACTTTCTATGAAGCCCATTTTTATAACACATGATACGGGTATTCTTAAGGCATTATAATGAACGCATAATGCATTATTAAAAAACCATTTCATCTCATAAATAATCATAATTATAATAGATTATAAAACTCAACTTTTATGATTATTTATAACACGCAATAAACACCATGTTAAATCCACTTAATTTACAATGGATTATACGTCTCATATCTTGACATTATTTATTTAAGATCTGTATAGAGTATTTTACTGAGATTACAATACATATAGTTCAAATCAAATGTGCCATATTACACATTCATCTGATCAGATATCTGATCTTATGGCTGTTTTAAGAAAAAATATTATTTTTATTATTATTGTTGTTATTATTTATAAGTGATCTTTGTCTGCTTTAAGTAAAGTAACAAGTTAACAATGGCAAGATATGAGACTTATAATATATTATAACTATGGGAAATATAATCCATTGTAAGTTAAGTGGATGCATTGTGTTCATTGTGTGTTATAAATCATCATAATCTTAAAAGCTATAACCACAAATAAGTAAATATTGTAATGCATGATTACTCATGAGATGATAAAACAAGTTTTTTTTATAATACATTATTATGCTTTCATTATAATGCCTTAAGAATACTCTTATAATGTATTATAAATATGGGCTTCATAGAAAGTGTTACCTAAAAGGCTGCTTATAAGCATGATACACTGTATATAATATAATACCATTCAAAAGTTTGGGGTTGGTAATGATTTTTAAACATTTTATAAAGAAGTCTCTTCTGCTCACCAAAGCTGCTTTTATGTGATCAAATTAATACAGTAAAAACAGTAATAATATTACAATTTAAATTAACTTTTTTTTTTTTACTTTTTTTAAATTAATTTTAATATATTTTAAAATGTAATTTATTCCTGTGATGAAAAGCTGAATTTTCAGCATTACTCCAGTCTATAGTGTCACATGATCCTTCAGAGATCATTCTAATATACTGATTTGCTGCACAAGAAAAGTTTCTTATTATTATCAATGTTGAAAACGGTTGTGCTGGTTAATATTTGGGCATTGTAATACATTTTTTTTTTAGGATTCTTTGATGAATAGAAAGTTCAAAAGAACAGCATTTATTTGAAATAGAAATCTTTTGTAACATTAAAATATCTTTACTGTCTCTTTTGATCAATTTAATCTTAATGCATCCCTGCTGAATAAAAGTATGAAAAAAACGTTACTGACCCCAAACTTTTGAATGGGAGTGAATTGAAATAAATATTAATTTGTGTTTTTCCCTATTCACGTGGTATTGGTTTTGTCATTAGAAATGAAAAGTCATTTTAGAAGTGAAGGAACTTTATGAAAGATTATGATATTTCTTCTTTAGGAAAAGAGACATATTTAAAGTATCAATTGGGTCAATTTTTGAGTTGCTAATGTTAACAGCGTTTTATTTTTTTCTCACAGTTTTCTTATTTTGAAGTACATGCCTTTAAAAGAAGAATTTGGAGAGGGACATAATGAAGGATTTGACTGTTTTTATAAATAGCCTTTTGTTTTGATCATAACATTGGAACATTATGATTTGCTATTGCAAGTCATATTCTTAAGAGCAACTTATTGGACAAAAATATGGATATAGTGTTTTAGGCCACTAACCTGAAAAATGAAAGAGTGTAAATTTTAAATGCATATATCTGCAAAATATTTTTTGAGCATATTAGCATATTGATGACATTAAAGCTAACTGACGTGGAGTAGAAGGCAAAAATTAGTTTTTAATGATTAAAATTAGCTTGAACTCACTTGTGTCACAACTTGCCCCAAAATATCCGTGACGACAGCGGCATTCGTTTGGTCGGACACACACCTCGTTCTCATTACAAGTGAAGTTACCTTCGCAGAGCGCTGAGGGGAGAAGGACATAATCAAGATATAAATCAAGTGACACTCAGGAAGTGATCTAACATACAGGAAATGACACTTACGTGTTAAACACTCTTCGCCTTGCTGCGCCCATCCGCTGCAACACGTAAGCCCTGGTGACCTGATGATAAGATGCAAAATCAAGGTCAAGGTAAGTGCACTGGCTTATTAGTTAAGGAATATTCAATCTTTATTGCATTAAACTGCTATCTGAAAGGACAGCGGATCATTAAACATTTGCGTCAGAATATTTTGCAAATGCCCTGACCAAAGTTTCATCTGTCCGTGAAAGATTTAAGCATGTGGCTCTTGAGGAATATTGCAAATGTCTGGATGCCATCTGTAGCTCCTCCGGAGCTTCACAAGCGCAGATGTTTCAGATAGCAAACATATACTGACTCGCATCCAGTCACACAAACACAAGCGTAAGCATTCATTCCATTCTCCACTCTCTCAGCAGCACTAACTTTGTTGCATCGTCAGATAAGTGACTGGATCCAAAATAAGGCCTGATTTGATTAGTAATGCAAATATCCTTCATTAGACCAGTAATTTAGTCCAATAAACAGTCTGGACTTCATATTAATAGATACGTAAAAAAGCTTTGAAACAGCTTTTCAGAATATTAAATTGAGCTTGTTTAAATCCAAAATATAAAATGTCTGTATTTATTTACTTAAAAAGAAGAAAAAAAATCTCATTTGCAGTTCTTCATGCACCAATTCTGAATACATTTTCAGTGATTAATGACTTAAATTTGGTTCACTTTCCTCACATGAAGCTATCTTACGGCTTCAGAAGAATTGAAATATAGTGCATGAGTCATTATGCATCTCCTTTGTGTTCCACAGAAGAAAGTAAGTCATATGGGTTTGGAACGACATGAGCGTGAGTAAATGATGACAGAAGTTTCATTTTTTTTTGCATGAATTACTCTTAATCCATCACATATGATCCCGGCGGAATTTTGCATGTGTGTGCGGTGGATGTTTTATTCAAAGCATCTCACAACAGGCCTGCTGCAGCAACTTGCATGCCTTTCTTTGAAAGAAAATGATGGGGGGAAGAAAGAGGAATGGGTTCAGGACACAATTAGGGCCTGAATTGAACCCATGTCTCCCATATGAGCACCACAGCACAATGTATCTGAAGGTTTCAACATGTTTGTAGACTAATATAATACCATTTAAAGGTTTGGGTCAGTTTTTTTTTTTTAAAGAAATTAATACTTTTATTCAGCAAAGATACATCAAATTGATCAAAAGTGACAGTAAAAACATCTACAATGCCGCAAAAGATGTCTATTTCAAACAAATGCTGTTCTTTTGGACTTTTGACAATTGTATTATGTACAATAATGTACCATTCAAACGTTTGGGTTCAGTAAGATTTTAATTTGATTATTATTTTATTTTAAAGAAATTAAAGCTTCTATTTGGCAAGGAAAGCATTAAATTGATTAAAAGTGTCAGTAAAGAAATGTAAATATAATGCTGCTGTTTTGAACTTTCTATTCATCAAAGAATCCTGAAAAAAATGTATCAGTTTTTTCAATTTTTTTTAATCAAACACTGTTTTCAACATTGATAATTATAATGAATCTTGAGCAGCAAATCAGCATATTAGAATGATTTCTGAAAGGCAAGCAATGGCTGCAAAAAATTCAGCTTTTCATCACAGTAATAAATTATATTTTAAAATATACTCAAATAGAAAACAGTAATTTTAAATTGTAATAATATTTCACAATTTTTACAGCATTTTTGATCAAATAAATGCAGCCTTGGTGAATGTAAGATACATTTTCAAAAACATACAAAAAAAACATACTTTTGTATTGCAGTGTATATCAAGCGATTTAATGGAAAACATGTGTAAGAGCAGTTTCATTTAAAGACTCTCTAACATTCCATGCATGAAAAACAAAATGATCTTCCTACTTTTCTTTAAACCTTTCAAATTATCCCCGCTATCTCTACTTCAAGTGGCTTCCCCTTAAAATGTAATACTCTCTAAGTGCTCCTTGGATATAAGACACATGCCGCCCCTCATATTCCTCCACATGTGACCCCAGAGAAGCCTTGTCCACACTTTGGCTTCCTCTGAAGCGTGGGGGCCGCTCTCTGCCTTCAGTCAGAGTTTGTTTAGCCTTTGTGTGCGTGTCTTAGCCAGATGATCTACACCACAGCCCTGACTTCTCTGCTCTGTGTCAAACCCAACATACACACCACAGCCAGAACGTGAAGCTATGACTGTGGATGAAAGCTTAAACGAATGGAAATTGAGCATCAGTCAACAGCTTGAGGGCAAAACCTGATTCAGCAACAATAATGTTCTGCGTGGAAATTCTGAGCAATTTTGTAAAACGAACATGAACTTCCTGTCAACGTCTGTGGTTGGTGAGAATCTCGGTTTGTGAGAATACACACTAGATCGCATCTGGTGTGTGATATTGATTTTTTACAACAGTTCAATAAACAAGAAGTTAATTAAGAGACTTGCGCTTTAGACACCATATTTCCTGTTTTTGCGCTATTTCGACAACAAAAAATAACTCCAAACAAAACCACAGCGCTGTTTTGCGTCTCTGAGCAACATGACGCCGTTTTGTTCCTGAATGAATCAATCGTTTAAATGATTCGGTTCAATCGTATTGACTCACTTATTAACAGTGACTTGCTGCCACCTACTGGCAGCTTTAATTTCACATTCAGAGTATCTTTTATTATTTAAATAATTTCAAATATCAGTATTCAAAAGATAATGGACACTTTTAGAAAAAAAAAGTCTTTATAAAGGTCAAAATGCCCATAAAATGTAAAAATCAGTTAAAACTTATTGGAAAAGATTTATTTCTATCAGTGTGAACTGACCACTGCACAGAATATGAAGAATATCAAGTCAGCTGTCCACGGCAGTCCTTAAGATGCCAGCACAATATCGTCTAATTATCGTTATCGATAAAATCCCAGAAAATATCGAGATATAATTTTTTGTTAATATCGCACACCCCTACAGTGAACATGTTGGGGCAAGTGACAGACTGGTATGTCGGCCAGGCCAATTCATTGACCATTTAGAGATTATCACCAGATTCACCATGCTCAATTCAAAGTATTATTGTAAATATTGTGTTAAATAAATACCCATTCAATTTCAGCGATTCTACCATTAAAAGTATAGTTCAAAAGTTGGGGGTAAGTACTTTTTTAAACTAATACTTTTATTCAGCAAAGATGAATTAAATTAATCAAAAGTGACAGAAAAGTCATTTATAATGTCACAGAATATTTCCAATTTTCAAAAAACTGCTGTCCTTTTGAACTTTTCATTCATCAAAGAATCCTGAATGCCAGTTTCCGACACAATAATAAGCAGCACAACTGTTTTCAATATTGATAATAATAAGACATGTTTCTTGAGCAGCAAATCATTATATGTGACCCTGGACCACAAAACCAGTCTTAAGTCGCTGGGGTATATTTTTAGCAATAGCCAAAAATACATTGTATGGGTCAAAATTAATGATTTTGAATTTATGCCAAAAATCATTAGGATATTAAGTAAAGATCATGTTCCATGAATCCTTTCAGATGATGCATAAATCTCAATTTCTAAAAATTGACCCTTATGACTGGTTTTGTGGTGCAGGGTCACATATTAGAATGATTTCTGAAGGATCATGTGACACTGAAGACTGGACTTATAATGCTGAAAATTCATCGTTGACATAACATGAATAAATTACAGTTGAAAATATATTAAGACAGAAACAGTTAAACAGTAAATTGTAAAAATACTTCACAGTATTACTGTTTTTACTGTATTTTTGATCAAATAGACGCACCCTTGGTGAGCATAAGAGACTACTTTTAAAAATGAGCTCAAACTTCTGAAAGGTAGTGTATAGTATGGAAGTATGGTGATTATTTCTTTGCACTACTCTCAGTCCTGGATCACTTGATGGAAAAGAGTAGCTTTGACATTTTGATAACTCCTTTTATGTAGTTTGAAGCAGATGATCTGCGGAAGGTTTGATTGAGAAAAAATAAATGTCAACCTTAATTATAAAAGGTGTAAACATAATTTTTTGGATGCATGAGAACAGGCTCAAAAATTCCCCCAGTTTGAAATTCACTGTGGAAATGCCTCTGATAACCGTTACATAAATCATCGTCCATCCTGCTCGGCATTGGCCATTAAAATAGTCAATCGTTAAATTGTGAAGGTCTGTGCAATTTGTAAATGTTTTGATTGGTTATTTAATAGATTTATTTGGACATCAACATTGATCAAGACTCTGATGAGCCTTCTACATCCATTCTTAAAGGGACAGTTCACCCAAAAATGAAAGTTTTGTTGTCATTTACTCATCCTCATATTGTTCCAAACCTGTATGAATTTCCACCTCCTGTTGAACAGAAGAATGTTGATAAACAAACAGTTACTGGTAGCCATTGATTTCCATAGTATGAATCCAATGGATACCAGTAACTAATTTCACATTCTTCTTCTTCTTCTTCTTCAAAAAATCTTCTTTTGTGTTCAGCAGGTGAAAGAAACTCATAGAGGTTTGGAGGGTGAGTAAATGATGACCGAATTTTCATTTTGGGATGAACTCTCCCTTTAATGAAATGTAGGTCATAGATACAGTATGTTGTGGCTAGATGTCGAACCCTCAGTGACCTCTGTGATTAGGTTAGGGAAGAGTTTACAATCTGTAGCGACTGTGCAACTGTACAGGTCATTTTATTTTATGTTTCAAACTCTGAAATAATGAGTGGAGTACAGTAAACTGAAATATTATTACAAGATCTTTGATATAGAATGAGGCTTATTGTTTTTGTCCTTTAAGCGAATATAAAACATTTGCATGTGCTTTAAAAAGTATTTTAATGCCAATTAACGTAGGCTTTTATACAATATCTAAACTGTGCCACGACTGTGCTTGAATATTTGGTGTCGCCCCCTATCCCTCAATGTGTGTCAGTGAACCAGATGTGAAACAGGATGACTGACACACATCAGATTCAAATCACTATTTGGAACAACATCACAAACAACTTTAGTAGAGTTTTAAAAGTCACTAATCACTTATTTCTGTACACTTTCGTGTATATATTATGATTTATTACTTTATAACAATCAGAAATAAGAAAAATAACAAACAACTTGGCCTTATCTTTAACTTTAAAAATAAAGATTAATGTAAAAGATCTGTGATTGTTTTACTTTAACTCTTAATTTAATATACTACTACATGTTCACAACTGTTTTCTTGAAGCTCACAGAAATAGTGTTTAATTGCCATTAATTAGGCTACTGCTGCATTTAATAAACGTTGATTTAATAACTTTTGATTTCCATACCTATTCACATTGTACTGGCCTTTGTACTTGCTTAATATCGTGCATTTCGTCTACCATACGATCAGAAGACATTAATGCTTTCTTTTATTTCCTTTACCCCCTAGAAGTTATTCATCCGACTTACCCTGGAACTTTGCACACGTTCCTACCCTTTGGATTGAGTTCTTGACTGAAAACAGGGCACAAGCATAGAAGCAAAAGCAGTAAAACCGCTAATTTTAGATCCATGGTAGAAGAAACAGCATCTCTCCATGCGCCTCTTCTGCTCAGCATTCCTTTTCTTTACAATCTCTAGAAGTTCAGACGGGTTATTCTGTATCTCCTAAATCGACTTAAATCGGTTGGAAGTTAATTTATCCGCATAAATCGTTTATCCGCTCTCTTTCAGACTCCAAGGGCTGAGGCAGAGAAGAGAAAAGAGGAGGAGAGGGCGCACAGAAGTTATAAAGCCAAGCTGTTATTCCCTCCGTCCAGCCCCAGTTCCTGAGGAGAATTTATGCCTTTATTATGCGCTCCAAACACTGGTGGATGTAACTGGTGCATTGCTGGACACTTCTGACACCCTAGCTGATATCCCCAGTTTTCCGCTATTATTTCCAAAAATGCAGATTTTCAGAGAGGATATGCTGCTTCAGAATGCGTCAAGAAAAAAAAGTTCTGCAAAACTTTATGCGCGTCCATTTTGAAAAACAAAAGGAACTTTAAAACGGGTCGTGCTCTCTTTTCAGAAGGGAAATTCCTAATTGGTGATATCCTATCGCCGGCTCTTACTCTTGGGAATTCGGTGCGCCTGCTCTCTTTGGCGTGCAGCGGTTTCCTAAATTCTGACCGAAACCACCCGAGCAGCTCCTCATCGAGTGGGTGTGACTATAGTAGGCCTATATGCTTAGGTCTTAACCGTGGACCCATCCAGCCCCCCTTACTAACCCCGTCAACATGCTTACTAACCCCGCGCAAACGCATTCACGCTGCCATGTCATTAATGCGCACAAGTTTACCTATGTAATAGACTTTTGTTGTTTTATGTAATATAATAATTACAACCTACCCATAATTATAACCACTAAAAGAGAAATATTGGCATTTTAGAAGTAAATAAACAAATACACGTGAATAGATAAATAGATTAGGCCTACACTCTAAAAAATGCTGGGTTAAATACAACCCAGTGCTGGGTAAAATAGGGACAAACCCAGCAATTGGGTTGTTTTGACCCAGCCGTTGGGTTAAATGTTTAACTTCTGGGTAGTAACCCCACCGCTGGGTTTGTCCCTATTTTACCCAGCACTGGGTTGTATTTAACCCAGCATTTTTTAGAGTGTAGTCTTTGCTACCTGACTTTCCAATATAGACCTATAAATACTATGGGTTATAAGCCTAATATGGGTTGAAGTCACACAGTACAAATATTTTTACATAGAAGATTTTTATTTAAAAGCAGCCATGCTGTCTTCCTTTCTTTTCTTTCTTTTTTTTTTTTTTGAAGCAGATGGGTTGGTGTTTAACGTGTTTCATATTGTTGTGGACATTTTCACAAATAGCAAAATACGTGCATTTTTCGTAGTTATCTTGAATTTACATTGGTCCATTCCCTTTACAGATTCTTCCTCTCATTTATGAGGCATTTTAAATATATTTTTTGTAAATTATAGTACAGATCACGGACCTACAGTTTTGCGGTTTGAATAAGTGAACTCATTTTTTTAAATTATTTTGTTTATGAATAACTTTTGGACATCTCCAGATGTTTTGTCAGCTTAGGTAAGTAGTTTATTCTCAGTATTGTAAAAGTGAATTACTTTAACAATGCAACGGCTCCCCCCTCTGTTTATGTAACGAACGTCACAAACACAACTGCAAGAGCAGAACTAAACGACAAGAGAGTAACAGCAAAACAAAATGGCCCGGCCCGGCCACCTCGGCCACTGTGCCCCCTCACCTCTGGTGCCGTCTCCGTAGTGGGCGCCCTGATTTTAGTCGGTGAGGCAAGGTACTGCCCTGGGAAGGTCTTCCAGGCTGTTAAATACACAGATTAAAAGCGAAATGTTTTCATTTCGGTTCGTTCTTAGCAAAAAAAATAATAATGTTTTCGTTCAGGTTATGCAGAGCGAAATAAGAACAGTGCTGCATTTAGAAATAATTCGTATTAACTTTGCTATTATTCTTGAATTTTCAAACTGGTAACACTTTGCACTTTGCAGTTTCGAATTATGCCTTTACTGTATGACCAAAAATTACGACCTACAATCCCTGCCGGTACGAGACTCGAACCCACAACCTTTGGCAACTCATGTGGCATTATCCCAGATGATTGACAGTATTGGCATCTTGTCAGGAAGAAGTCACGTGGTTAGTGTGTAGCGTTACTGTAGAGTCAAGATTAATGGCAAGGGCAGAATGAACCTCAGACATGTGCAAGTATGTTTGACCTTTAGAAAGCCTTTACAGACGCAAGAGATCCCACATCCAGATGTCCAGAACACTTAATCATAACTTTTAAATGGTAGGCTATCTAACAATTTATATATTTATTATAGTACAGACTAACGTACATTGCAGACTAACTTTGCATAAAAAAAATGTAAAGAGTTTGCACACCATTTAATAGTTTGAATAGCTTTATTTTTTTTATTTTGAAATAAATTAATACTTTTATTCAGCAAGGATGCATTAATTTGGTCAAATGTGACAGAAATATTTTGTTATGATGTAGAAGTCTTTTCTATTTCAAAATAAATAAGAAATGTTTATTGAGCACCAAAATCAGCATGTTAGAATGATTTCTGAAGGATCATGTAACATAAAATTAAACATGACCATCACAGCAACACATTAAAATATACATTTTAACCTATGTTTTATATAGAATTTAAACTATATTTTGAAGTATATTAAAATGGAAAACAAAATTCTACACAGTTTGTGTATGGGTATAATTATAATGCTAAAAAAAGTTAATTAATTTAAAGCATCAATTGACCTGTTTTGTGGACAATTGTGTCCTGTTTTAATAACAAATCACAAAGGCCATCCATAATGTGGACGTACTGAACTCAAATGCCATATTTCCATGTTATCCTCTATATACAGTGGCCCCAAACTCTAAGGCACCTAAACCACACTTAAAAATGTATGCATGTCATTGCATTAAATAACAAGTGGCATTTTTAGGCAAAACAATTAACAAGCACAATAAATCATTCATAATTTCATATGTGTTGAGTGCTTATACCTAAAAGAATATGCATGCTTTGACAAGACTATTTCTGTCTCCTACAGATAATGGACCTCAGCAGAAAGTTGTTGGGACAGAAGATGTTTGAGCAGTTTATGAAGAGGACGTTCTACGGTCAGTTTGTGGCAGGGGGGGACCATCAGTCCATCAGGCCTGTAGTGCAGAAGAACCAAGCGTATGGAGTGGGAGCTGTGCTGGATTATAGCATAGAAGAAGATCTCTCACAGGAAGAGGCTGAGAGGAAAGAGATGGGGTAAGTGCTCTCTTCTGCTCCCTCCATCCACAAACTACCGTGTTTAAGCTGCTTCAATTGATTTATAGGTACCAAGGTGACTGGTAAGATTTGTGAGCAACTTAACATAATACAATGTCTATCGTCTAGATACGAGAATGTTACTCAAGACATTCAGCTTAAGATTTATTTTATGATAGATAGATAGATAGATAGATATATTATTTTATTCATCAAGGATGCATTAATTTGGTCAAAAGTGACAAAACTCTTTTTTAACAATGTATTTATATTTATATTTATATTTCAAATGCAGTTCTTTTGTCCTTGCTATTCATCAAAGAAATAATACATTTTCCTTGAGCATCAAATCAGCATTTTAGGCTGATTTCTGAAGAATCATGTGACAGAAAATTAAATTTTGCCACCATAGGAATAAATTACATTTTAAAATATAAATTTTAAATATATATATTTTTCTTAAAATAGAAAACAGTTATAAATATTTCACAATATTTCTAAATATTCAATTTTTTAAATATTTCACAATATTAAA